CACTCTTTCATTAACAAGATCTAACCTTGTTCAGTGACAAAAGATTGTTTGTTTTATTTGAAGTGTTCTAAGACTTAAGTATACAACAGTACTTTTTTTAATCCTAATGGCAACAGATGAGAGGTTTGCACAGGTGCTAGTTTATTCATCATGGTGAAATATGAGGAATTTCACCATAACAAACCTGAGAGAATGTAGACGTTGTTGGGGCCACATGAGTTGGGTGCAGAGTGGTGTGTGTAGGTGTTACGATGTGATCTGTATATCATTTTAAGTTTAATGACTTTGTTGTCATAGTGTAGCAGGAAGCATTAGTAGACAAGAGTGGTTTTTGGCCTAAACGACGCTCCACTTACCCTGGATTGTTGTCACCCACTACCTCATGTAATGGGAAGGGGAAAACTGTCCAAGGATGTGGGCAGCTCCATGCAGATGGTTGTGGTGACTGTGGTCCCAGATGGCTACCACAGAGTGGCTGCAGTCAATCCAGTTAGTGGGAGAACAGTCATGCTGTAGGAGCAGAAACAAAGGACAAGCAAATGGTCCACCCTCCCCTCCTTTGCTTTTTGTTGGGAAAAGGTTTGCTTGGGTATGTACAGTAGTTAGTACATACAGTACTGTGTATAGCTAAAGATTTATGCTATAACACTATTAAAGAATTATGATCTCTACACTTCCCTCACTCCCACAGACAGATAAAGAGGAAAGTTATGTTTTCTTCTTGATTAGTCAGACAGCACAGGGAGACAGATGGGTTTCTTCTGTGTCGCCTCTGACCTTGCTGGGACACTGTAGCTGAGTTCCTTTAATTGTTTATGAAATACGAAGGTGCATGTTCTTGTGTTCCTTCAGCCTGCACACCCACATTCATGTGCACACATACAAAGCCAACATCAGTGTAGCTAATACCATAGTGACCTGTTGGTGACTCATTCTCACACCCCAAGCCCCTTTATGGAGGCGGAACATGAATTGAGAGACTCTTTGTCTCAATTACAGAGGACCATAGTCCCCGATGCTGAGCTTAGTTGATGTGTTTTAAACACAGTCTGAAATGTTATAGTGATATGTTTGCAGGGCTTAAAAGAGCCTTTAAGTCTGCTTCATGCAGTGTTGGCTGTTCTTTAAGCAGAAAGGAACCCTGGCTTTATTCTGTAATAGGATTTCTGTTCTCCTGCTCCCAGGTTTTTGTATGGCTCACTCAGTCAAAATGGACATATGTTGTTCAAAATCCAAAGCCGTAATGTCTGTTTGGAGTGGGTCCAGCCAGCTTTTGAAGAGAATGCACATGTCCAAGGTGTCAAAAATGACTTAGCACCACCTGAACAAGCTGGAAGTTAAGCAGCACGCTGAGAAAAATCTGTTGTTTATTCTCAGATTGTATATTTTATATTCAGAAGTTTATACTCCACCCATTTTAGTGCATTGATTGATGCAGGTTTGGCGGCTTTTCTTATTGTCCAAACTAATTTTTATTTCCACTCATTTGTGTCACAGTGTTTGAAGTGTACAGTATGGTGTATTTTTCCTGCCCCACTGCAACAGTTCGTAAAACCTGACCATGAAATCTAAAGTACTGACAGCAACCGGTCTGATTAAGTAGTTGTGCTAAAATTTTGTGGAGGTCTCTTCACATTACGGCTTAGGGATTTCATAATTTTATAATTTGTAAGGATGTTTATTATGATTAGATGTCTGACAAAAAGATTCAATTATTTAAGTCCACATCAGTTAGGGATGAAAAACTCTGAGAGCCTGGGCTGTTGAAATGTAATATTGCTGTTTTGTTGGAAATGCACTTGACGTCAGCTCCATTCTGGCAGACACGCTTACTTGTTCTTTGCCTGGTGGGAATTACGCATGCAGCCCAGGAATACTGAAAACTGAACGGGATCTGGATCCTCAAAGGCATTTGTTACTTAATTGTCTTTTTTTTTTTTTTACTTGAATACAGATGGATTTTTCTTTAGCTTTAGCATCTTACTACTATTAGAAGAACTGCATCTTGAAGCATCTCCTCATTGGGTTCTGTTGGTTTATAGACTTAACACTATAGATCTGATTTGGTGTTTTAAATCCAAAATGTGAAATTTCATATCAAGCTTTCTTTATTTAAAAAACTCACAATCACTTGTCAGTTATGACATCACATTATCGTTTATCAGCACTGAACTGGTAAATATTTGTTGTTGATAACACACAGAGACAGCCGCTATCATATTGATAATGTGACATTATCAAAGCAAATTTGCTTCATTATTATGTTTCATGCATCACTGGGTTTAGTTTTGTGAAAAGTCCAGCTGGTTTAAAGGGAGTGACATCTGTGACAAGAAGTAATGAGCTTATGGACAGGATGGCAAGGTTTTCAGAAAGAAACCAAGCTGATTGGCTTTACTTTACTTACTCACTCAGCTTTTATACTTCTGTAAACAAATAACCTCTAATAATAAAATAAATAACCTCTAATTCTGGTAATGACATTATGTGTAGTCGGTGTTTTATTTAAGATTTGGTCTGTTGTTGATGTGAAGGATGTTCATGACTACATTCATTAAATAAAACAATATATTTTTAAAAATAAATATAGTTGGTAAAAAGTGGTGCTGCCTCTGAATGATAGATTGAAAACATATATGAGTTGTTTAAGACAACCTCATCTTGTGACCCTTTTTCTACCCTAGGGTTCAAAGGGAGACGCTGGGCTCTCTCCAGGCCAGGCTCCAATGGGAGAGAAGGTAAGAAATCTGCTTTTCTCTCTCTTCTGGTTTGCTCTGTCTGTCAGAAAGCCATGTCTTTTTTGACAGTGATATCTTATTATAAAAATTTTTACCTGATCTGATACTTATGCTTCCAGTTTATGTAATATCAGTCCTGTCATATCACCTCTCTCTCTGTCTGCTTTTTCCTCTGCTCTTGATTTCATTTGTCAGTATTCTGAGCAAAATATTTGAAAAGAATCCCAAAATATTGGCTCAAAAATGCTGTAGAATGATTTATAATGACTAAGAAAGATTATGCAACACATATATTACATTTACGGTTTCCTTATAAATTTGAGGTTAAGATCTTGTTTTCCTCAGCTGCTTGAATTAATTTAGCAACTTCCCCCAAACCCCCTTTGGGCATTTCTGGCTCACTATTATCATAGATTTCTCTGGCATCACCACAGCTGGTAGGACATACAGTACTTTCATTTCCTGCT